CTATTTACCCTCAGTTCAGTTATGTTTGTAAACCATGCATATTAATTAGATGCACTAGTTGGGTGTACACTGGATAAACAAAAACTTGGCCATTTGTTTGCACACAAGAAAAAAATCAGTTTACTTGTACAAGATATTTTTTTTCAATAAAATAAAAACACCAATGTATGTAGCATGCCTTAGGGAGCTATTCGTGTGTTTTTCAAAAAAAAATATGAAAAGTGCCCAAAAAACTATTCTGCTACCTTAAGTGCCATGGAAAAATTAACATATTTAAAATTCAATTTTGAAATAAAACAATAAAACAATGAAAGTTTATAAATTGCTTTATATGGCATTTGTTTAACTATGAAACATTAAATAATTTAATGTAAGTATTCCTTCTATATAGCAAAATGGACAGCTGTGTCATGGAAGCCAGGTAACCAATTTTCAAAGCTAAAGTTTGTAAAATGGCCTTAACATATAGGAATTACTTAGGGGATATCAAAGAGCACCAAGGCAAACTCATTCGGGGCGTCAAGGCTTTTGTGAAGTCATAAATGTATCCTTTAAAAACTTGAAATAAGAGCCTCCCCAGTCAGTTAAAAGCCACTCAATGTAAATTCTCCATCAAGAGCCACCCATAGTGACTGTCATTATTTTTTTGTGTTATCTTGGAAATTCTTTTTTCTGATAATTTTTTTCCATCGATACATGGATTACTGTAAAAATTCTAAAATTACTACCCCTCTAAAAATACGTCCACCTAATTATTTGCTGAGTTTCAGTATTTTATTGCCATTATTTTATTTATTGGTCTGATGTTTTGTTTCACTTGTCATAATACTAACTGATTGATGACTTTGTTTTGATTTTAAGTTTTTTAGCCTACAACTTGTTGATTTCTATTCTGAAAAAAATTGACCGCTCTAAATGCACCTTAATTTTGTACTCTAAAAACATGTCAGATTTCCAACACAAATTATTTAAAAGCGGTCGCAATTTTGGAGCCTTTACGGTACAACAACTTTTCCGACATGGTTTAAAAAATACCACTGTATAAATATTTAGCGTAGCCATGGTTTGCTTCAATAATGCAATATGATATGTCAGCTGTCTTGAATTTTATTGCTGTATGCAATAAAAAAAATTCCCTTTAGAGCAAAGTTGTCAAAATGTTACAATTGATTATTCAAAAGTAGTTACTGTCAAGCACTGTAAATTATCCTATATTGTTATAGCAATATAATTAGCATCTGCCACTCAGCTAGCTTTGTAAACAGTAATTCAGATCCACCACTAAATCATTTTCAAATTTTATTCTTCAGCCAAGCCAAAAGCAGCACCAAAGAAAAGAGTGACGAAGGGCCATAAATTACCTGAACATTTCCCTGAAGGAACTGTACTTCGTGATGTGTCGAAAACAGAATGGCAGTTAGGTAGCTCAATAGGAACTGGTGGCTTTGGAGAGATATACCTTGGTCAGTTTACAGTACCTACCTTGTATGCTTGATGAAGTCTTATGATGATGTATTTATTCTTGATGATATTGTGTTTTATGATGTGTTTTGTACTTTTTTTAGTTGTATACATTGTATAAAAAAAGCTTATTTTGAAAAGCCAAACATTCATTGCAGAATGAACAGATAACTATGACAGCTGTGATCTGCACCATGTGTTTTGAGTAGCTAAATATATATTGCTTACAATAGCTGGCTGTACTAATCACTGTTCTATTATTCTTTTTGGGTCAAATTTTCCCAAATCATGGCAGTGTGTTATGAAGTCTTGTATTTCATGTTAATCTAAATAGTTCATAATTACTTTTTAGCTGCTAATGATACCAGTCAAGCTGTTTCCAAGGATGCTGACAATGTTGTGAAGATTGTAAGTATCAAGTATAGGCAACTGTTTACCTACACCACCCTGTACCAGACTGGTCGTTGAATAATAATTTGAATATGTAATATAAATTTCAGTGGTTGAAATAAAGCCTTCCCACCTGTTGCAGATTTCAGCTCGGACATGTGATGGCAATATTACTAAACGAGGGATTGTGAACAAAAATTAAAATTTAAATACCTTCCCAACCATTATGAACCAACATTAGGAGTAAATTTAAAAATGTGTGTAAACTGAATCTTGATATGTCAGGTATTTTTAAACATGACCTTCCGTTGACAGGCAACTTTGTTTTTATATTCAACCCCGTTGTATTAAGAGTTAGAATATATTAGTCAAGTTAATGATGAAATTAAAACTGTTCTACCTTGGAAAGGTAATTTATAATACATACCATCCATACTTATTTGGTGCATCATTTCACTTTTGCTGAACATTTCGTTAAGTTATCTTGTCTTTAAACTCTGACTAGCACAATTACATGTACCAGTACCATAGTTATTTTGTATTCAGCAATTACTAAACTGTCTTATTACAGGAACCCCATTCAAATGGTCCATTGTTTGTTGAATTGCATTTCTATCACAGAGTATGTAAACAGGAATTGAGTGAGTACGATATTAAATAAGTTATTCGTCATTAAATGTATTCCGTCAGTACATACAGTATACAAGATTTTGTGGTGGCCACCCACTTTTTTGTTTGCGTCAAACCTTTAACTGTATTATTTGTTTATTTTTTTATCAGTTCAGAAATGGCAGTCTTCTCATAAATTGAAGCACCTTGGTGTGCCAAGGTTTGTAGCTTCTGGCACACATGAAACACCAAAAGACAAGTACAGGTTTTTAGTATTGGAAAGATATTGCACTGATCTACAGAAGATATTTGTAAAATATTCAAAAAAGTTTTCAGTCAAAACTGCTTTTACATTGGGTATTCAAATAGTAAGTAACAAACACAAATATCTGCATTTCAGCAGACAAACTTATACTATGAATCACAATTTTGCATGGTTCAGAATCGTTATTTTTGTCCCTATATATGCTGGCCATTGTTGACAATGTTAAACAGTGTTTGCACTCTATATCGCGTCAATAATGACATCCAATTTCAAACTTGAATTACTTTTCTCTTCTGGTTGCATCAGCTGAAAAAAAAAATGTGTTGATATATTGTCTGGAAGTAGGTCGAATATGTGGCACACTGCTTTAAGAGTCTTTAAAGTTGAGTAGAGTCATGATCAATTCAATTTGATAAAAATATTTTGTATTACTGTTTCATCTATTCCATTGATGCTGTTTTCAGTTAGACATCCTTGAGTATTTACATGACCATGATTATGTGCATGCTGATATCAAAGCAGCCAACCTACTGACAGGTCGAACCAAGACCAAGAGTAGCCATGTAGAACAGGTAAGTGTATCACTGACCATCTTTAAATTGGTCCTTTATAAGAAACCCTCATCTTCAATCTATACAAATTCAAATGAACTTTCACTATGTGTAGCAAAAAGATTGATATTTAGGGTAAGTTGATGACGTGTGTAAAGACAACATGCAACTTTACCCACATTTTTTTTTCAGGTGTACCTAGTGGATTTTGGGTTGGCTCACAGATACTTAGTTGATAAACATACTGTGTATAAAGAGGATCCTTCCAAGGCACATGATGGTACTATTGAGTTTACTAGCCGTGATGCACACCATGGTGTCTGTAAGTACCACTATGAGACTCAATATTATTGCAAGAATTCACTCATGGTTTTAGTTTTATAATTCACCCAGTTTGTTGGTCACTATGTTATATGTATGTGTGTATTGCCATCTTGACAGCACCTGCTAGAAGGGGAGATATTGAAATACTTGGTTATTGTATACTTCAATGGTTATGTAGTAGACTACCCTGGGAAGACAAACTAACTGACCCTGAATATGTGAAAGCACAGAAAATAAAGTGAGTATTGACCACAGATAAAGGCACTGACTGACTAAACCCAGGCCTCACCAATGATAAATACCTGAATTGAATGTCATTCTTATTTATATAATCTGTACTCGTGCATTGTCTCGTACTCTTCTGTGATAATAACCTATGGATGTTTGATGATTTGGTATAATGTGGTCAATACATTTTACGCAGTGTACTTACTGATTCTGCGTGTTTATAGACATATGCACGTTAGTAAATTAAATTAGTGACATGTTTCAGAGATTAGTGGAAACATAAACAACAATTACAACTAATTACTGCAGAAATCGTTTTGACCTAACTGTGACAACATGGGCGTTATTGCTTTATGCAGATTTGTCTTCAGTATACCGACACATCTATGCATACTACATGTGTGTATTGTCTAATATCTGTATACTAACACATCTATGCATACTACATGC